CTCCCTCTCCCTATTGGCTCTCTCTCCTCTCCCCCTCCGTCTTCCCCTCCTCCTCCGTCCCTCATTTCACTCCACCCTCCTGATTTCCCTCCCCTCCTTCCCCTCCTCCTCATTCCCGTCCCTCTCCACTCCTCCTCCTCCTTCCTCCCTCTTTCCCCTTCTCCTCCCTCCCTCCCTCTCCCGCCCTCCTCCTCCTCCCCTCCCTCCCCCCTGCCTCCTCCTCCTCTCCCTTCTCCCCCACCTCCTCCTGCCTCCCTCTCCCCCTGCCTCCTCCCTCCTCTTCGCCCTTCTCCTCCCTCCCGTCTTCCCACCTCCTCCCCCTCCCTCTGCCCATCCTCCTCCGTCTCCTCTCCCCCTCCTTCTCCCTCCCTTCCGTCCCTCTCCCACTACTCACACACGCTCACCATCCACCCACCTCACCCAAATAACCCAACCACCACCACATCCACAACTCACCCACCCACCCAACCCTCGCACTCACTCACCATCCACCCACCCACCCACCAGCACAGTTCCCCTACCTCCTCCTGCATGTCCCTCCCAGCACGCGCAGCCTTTTTAAGCCTTCAGTTACTAGCGTGGACGGGACCTTTTCTAAGGGAGAAAAAGGAGAGAGCGAGGGAGGAAGTGGAGAGGGAAGTAGAATGTAGGAAAGGAGGGAGAAAGGAAAAGAATTGAGAGAGAGGAGATTAAGAGATGAGACTGAGATCTGCAGAACGGAGAGAGAGAGATGAGGAGAGAGCGAGAGAGAGAAGAAGAGAGAGGAGACGACGACGGTCGAAGAGACTCGAGAGAGAGAGAGAGAGAGAGAAGAGAAAAGAAAAAGAGGAAGAGAAAGAGAAAGAGAGAAGAGAGACCAAAGAGAGAGAGAGAGAGAGAGAGAGAGAGGAGAAGACGATGATTGAAGGAGACGACGATTGAAGAAAGAGAAAGAGGAAAGAGAAAGAGAAAATGACGAGGACGAGAGAGAGAGACAAGAGAGAAGAGAGACAGAGAACAGACAGAGAGACCGGAAGAGAAGAGAGTGAGAGAGAACAAGAGACATATCAGGAGGACCGAGAGAAGAGAAGACGAGAGATGAGAGAGATAGAAGAGAGAACTGAAGAGAGGAGATACTGATGAGAAGAGAGAGAAGAGAGAGAAGAGAGACAAATAAGTCTCACCGAGACGATACGATGAGGAGAGACAGAGAGAGAGCAGAGGAGAAGAGAGAATTAAGGCGAAGCAAGAAAAAAGGGAGAAAGAAAGAGAGAGGTGAGAGATAAGTACGAGAGAGGAGAGAGAGAAAAGGAAAAAGATTCCGTGATGATCAGTGATAGGAAGCCAGAAATCAGCTTGGGAGAGAAAGGGAAGGAAGGGAAGGAAGGAAGGAAGAAAGGAAGGAAGAGAAGAAGGAAAGAACAGAAAAGAAGAAATAAAAAAAATATGAATGAAAGGAAGGAAGGAAGAATAAAGGGGGAAGGGTATGAAGGAAGAGGTAGGAAAGAAAGAGGAGGATGGAGGAAATAAACGGAGAGAAGAAGAGAAGGAGGGAAATAAAGGAAGAATGAGGAGGAGAAAGAAAAAAAAGGAGAGGTCGCAGAGAAAAAGAAGAAACGAAGGAAAACGAAGAGAAATTTAAAGGGAAGGAAGAAAGTATAGGCAGAAAAAGAGAAAGTAAGAGAGTGCGATGTGAAAAGAGGGAAGGAGAGAAGGGAAGAAAATGGGAAAAAGAGGACAACAGGAGGAGAAGAAAACAAGAAGAGGTGGAAGAATTGAATGAAAATGAGAAGAGGGCAAATAGGGAGAAAAGGAGGATGAGGAGGATGAGGATGAAGAGTAGGGGGGAGGGGGAGAGAGAGCAGGAGGAGGAGGAAGAGGAAGAGGAAGAGACGAAAGAGGAAGAAAGACGAAGAAGAGGAAAAAGAAGAGAAGTGGAAGAAGAAAAGGAAGAAGAAGAAGAGGAAGAGAGGAAGAGAAAGAAGAGGAAGAAGAAGAAGAGGAAGAAGAAGAAGAGGAAGAAGATAAACAATAAGAAGAGAAAAAAGAAAAATGGGAAAAAACAACAACGAATGAAGGAGAGTAAGATGGAAAAAAGGGAAATAAAGGGAAAAGAAAAAAGGAAGAATAAGAAAACGAAGTGAAAGTAATAAGAGAAAAGCAAGAAAAAACGGATGAGGGTTTTTGCAGGAAGGAAGGAAAAAATCATAAGGAAAGAAAGAATTAAAAAAAAAAAACTGAAAAAAAAACTGAAAAAACCCTTTCAGAGACCCAAAATGAAACCCAAAAATCCTCTTAAAACGACAAAATAACCTCTAAAAATATCCTCTTTAAAGATAAGAAATCCTCTTAAAAAAAAAAATAACATTAAAAAAACAAAATATGATTATCATCCCTTTATTAAAAGATAAAAATCCTCTTAAAAAAGACAAAAAATAACATTAAAAACAAAATAACAAGATTAATACCCCCTCAAAAAAATACAAAATACAAAATAACAGGGAAGGGAGGATGGGAGGGAGAGAAAAGTCACAGGCTGAAGGAAACAGGTTTGGCCACCATTACCATGAGTGAGAGACAACTCATGATTCTCGGTCGGGTCTGCATGGCTGCCTTATTTGGGCCAACATTATGCGGTTACCCTGCACACCGGCGACTTCTATATTAAGCACATAGTGGAGTCATGCTGCGTTTGCAAACCATGCCATGCTGCGTGGCTTTTCGAGTGGATGCTGGACCGGGAAGGGAGGATGAGGGTGAAGGTATTGGGAATGGAGAAGGGGGAGGGGAGGAGGGGGGAGGGGAGGAGGGGGGAGGAGGGGGGGGAGAATGGGAGGGAGGAAGAGGAGGGGGGGAGGAGGGGAGAAAGAGGGGGGGAGTAGGGGGGAGGGGGAAGGTGTTGTGGGGAATGGGATGGGGAAGAAAGAGGGGGAGAGAGGGGGGAGGTAGGGGGGAGAAGGGAGGGGAAGAGGGTGGCGGAGTAGGGGGGAGAGGGAGGAGGATGGGGAGGAAAGGGAATGTTTGGGTGAAAGAAAAGGGAAGGGAGAGAGGAAAAGAGAAGGAGGGGAGGGAAGAGGAGGAGGAGAAGGAGGAAAGAGGAGGAAAAGGGGAGTTTGTGGGGTGGTAATAGGGAGGGGGAGGAAGTGAAGGAAGCTAAGAGAGTAGAGGCGAAAGAGGATAAAAAGACAAAAAAAAGAGAAGAAACCAAGAGATCGACGATGAGAAATTCGAAGTCCAACAGGAGAAAACTTTTAGAACAGAAGAAGAAAGAAAAAAAAAACAATGGGAAAGAAAGAACCTGTTTCTATGACAGTAAGACGTCGTGGTTATCCCATATTCAAACTGAACATCTCTCGTTAATTGACGTGGAAATTAAATAAACACGTAAAGGAAACTAAAACCACTTATAGATAAATTAGGAAAAAAAAACACTCCAGATAAGTAAAATAAGAATAGATAAATAGATACGCGAGATGAATACAATACAACTCAAGATAAAAAAAACGGAAAATCTCCAAATTTTCCGAGATGAATGCACGACTTACCCCATGAAGGGACTCATAGTAGCGCCCACTGCGATGATCATGGGCGTCCGGGATGAGTTAATAGATCGGCAATCCTTCGCTGGAAAAAAAAATGGAGCTTCGAGGACGAGAGATATTTAATGCCTCTCCAAATAAGGCATCCAGAGCACCGGGTTTCGCCGCGCGGCATAGGTCGATGGCATCCGGAGAAAGTTTTATCGGGGCGCTTGCAACTCTGCATAATGCCTCGCTGTGTTTTTTCTTTTTTTTTATGTTTGTTTTTGTTTTTTTTTTGTGAGTGATTTGGATATATATGTTTATGCGTCTACATATACTCACACACCACATATATTGGGGATTTGCATATATGTGCGTTGTGTCTACATACACTCCACCACACCACATATATTGGGCGATTTGCATATATGTGCGTTTGTGTCTTCACATCAACTCACAACACCAACGTATATTGGGGATTTGCATATATGTGCGTTTGTGTCTACATTAAACTCACACACCACACATATATCTGGTTGATTTGCATATATGCTGCAGTTGTGTCACATCAACTCACACACCCAACCATATATTGGGGGATTTGCATATATGTGCGTTGTGTCTACCATCAAACTCACACACCAAAAGATATGGGGATTTGCATATATGTGGCGTCTTTTGTGTCTTACATACACTCACACACCCTGAATATATTGGGGCATTGCACCTAATTATTGGTGCGGTTATTGTGCTCTACCATCAAGCTCACACGCAGCCAAAATATATGTGGATTTGCAATATATGCTGCGTTTGTGTCTACATCCAACTCACACACCAAATATGAATGGGGATTTGGCATTATATGTGCGTTTTGTGCTCTACATTCCAACTCACACAACCACATATTACTTGGGCTGATTTGCATATATTTGCGTTGCGCCGTCTACATACCTCACACACCAAAAGTAGCCTACACGTATATTGGGATGAATAGATACAGACAGATTCAAATACGAGAAGCATAGACCATCCAGGACAGACAGATAGGCCAACACAACACATACACACACACACACACAAACACACACAGGACACACACAAACACACACACACGCTCTGTCTCCTGTCTGTCTCTCTGTCCCTCCCTCTCTGTCTCTCTCTCTCCCTCCGCCTCCCCTCTCTCTCTCACGCTCTCTCTCTGTCTCTCTCTCGTTCTCGGTCTTCTCTCTCTTCTCTCTCTCTCTCTCTCTCTCTCTCCTCTCTCTCTCTCCCTCCCTCTCCCTCTCTCTCTCTTTCTCTCTCTCTCTCTCTCTCTCTCTCTCTCTCTCTCTCTCTCTCTCTCTCTCTCTCCTCTTTCTCTCTCTCTCTCTCCTCTTCTCTCTCTCTCTCTCTCTTCTCTCTCCCTCTCTCCCTCCCCTCTTCTTCTCTCTCTCCTTTTCTCTCTCTCCTCCCCCCCCTCTCTCGTCTCTCTCCCTCACCTCTCACTCTCTCACACGACAACACAACACACCTCCCACAAACCCCCCCCTCCTGACCGCCCATTTCGATTCCCAGCGCGAGTGCTACTCCATCACGTGGGCCAGGCAGGTGTGCAGATGCGGCAATGCCTGTCTCGGGAGTGTACTTGCCCCACTCGACCACAGAGCATCCAGCCCGACGGGACGATCGACCTCCGAAAGTACGTTTTCCCGTGGGACGGATGCCAGACAGCCACAGCCCGTCCTCATCTCCTGACCTTTTACACTGCCCATGTCAATCCCTTCACTCACACTTCCTCCTTCCTCCACCTCCTCCTCCTCTTGTCACCTCCACTCCTCCTCATTCCTCCCCACATAATACTCACTCCTCCCACTCTCAGACTCACCTCAACATCACTCTTCTTCACAACAGCGATGACGTTCGCTCCGCTCCCACCAACGGGAGGGGTTCGGAAGGTATACCTCCTCACACTTCCACGACCGCACTGTGACATCCGCAGCGCTGTTCTCTCCTCCTCGGACACTGGACGCCCACCTCCGTCGTCGGTGAGCCGGGGCCATTTCTCTCCCCAGCAGCGGGGCCTCCTGGGGCAGTCGATGGTCGTTCGCGGGTCGCATAGGGTCTCCTTGTCGCTTGGTGTGGAGGTTGTTTATTTGGGGTGGAATGTTTAAATTTTCTGTGTTGGCCAGTTCTCGTGAGGTCACTTTCCCGGTTCAATGCTAAAATGTCACAGTTACGGTGGACCGATTCCATTATCGCCTGTCTTCCTCTTCCTTTTCTTCTTTTGTTCTTTCGTTTCTTCTCTTTCTTCTTCTTATGTCCTCTTTCTTTTCTCCTTTTCTTCTCCTTTTCTCCCTTTCCTTTTTGTTTCTTCTTTTCTTTTCTTCTCATTCTCCGCTTTTTTTTTACTTTCTTCTTTCGTTCTCATCACTCTTTCATTATCCCTTTTAATCGGCAATCCTCCTCTTTCTCCACCTCCCCTTCTCTTAACTCTCTCTCACCTTCTCTTCATCTCCTCTCCTTCTTCTCTTCTCCTTTTTTTCTCTTCCTCTCTCTCCTCATCTCTCCGCATCATCTCTTTCTCCTCCCTCTATCTCTCTCCTCTCTCTGCTATTTTTTCTCTAATTTTTCTGTTTCTCTCCTCTCTCAACATGCGTATATTTTTTCTCTCTGTTTTCTCTCCTCTGTCCTTCTCGTTCTCTCCTGCGTCTCTTCTCTTCTCTCTCTCGTAATCCTTTCCTCTCTCTCTCTCCATCGTTCTCCTCTCTCTCTCATTCTACACTCTTTCTCTCCTCATTTCTCTCTTTCTTTTTCCTTTCTCCCCATTTCTTTCTTTCACTCGTTACTCTCTGTCTTTCTGTCTGTCTTGTCTGTCTGTTCTTTCTTCTCTTATGCTGGACTCCTCTTTCTTCTCGCTACTCCTTTTCTTTCTCCTCTCTCTTTTCTTCTCGTTCTCCCTTTCTCCTCTCATTTCCTCTCTCTCTCTCTCTTCTCTTCTTCTCTCCCTCTCTGTACTTTTCTCTCTCACATTTTTCCCCTTATCTTCCTCTCTCTTCTTCTTCGTCTCTCTCTCTCTCTCGTATTTTTTTCTACTCGTTTCTTCTCTCCATCACGAACGTAATTATATAACTCCTCTTGCTTTCTCGTCCTCTCCTATTTCTCTCGCTGAATCTTTTGTTCTTCATTCTGTTCAGGCGCTCTCTCCTTGATCTCTCTCCTTCTCTCTCTCTCATCGTCTTTTAGTCTCCGAATTTTCATCCTTTTCAATTCTCTAAATCCATACTCTACATTTCACTTCTCTTCTCTCTCCATATACTTCAGAGATACATCCTCCTCATCTCTCTATCAAACACTCAAGGCTCCTTTTATCTAGAAATATCTTCTCAAGTCATCGGTGTCTCTCTCTCTCTCTGTCTGGGCGTCGGGTGGCGGCGGGTCTCTCTCTTTAATTGCTCTCTCGGGGTCCATCTTGGGCGCGGTGTGTGAGTGCCCGTCCGGATAGGGTGCGTCATCAGCTACTCGGTGCTCCTCCTCTCATCTCTCAAAATCTCATCTCGTCATCTCTCCTTCTCTCATCTCAATCGTTCTCTTCTCTAATCTATCTCATACCTCTCTTTGTCTGTTGTCCTGTCTGTCTGTCTGTCTTCTGATCTCTTCCTCTCGCTCTCTCGTCAGTCTGTCTGTCTGTCTCTCTCCCTCTCTGTCTCTCTCTCTCTCTCTCTCTTGTGTCTGTCTGTCTGTCTGTCTCTCTCTTTTCTTCTCTCTCTTGTCTGTCTGCTGCCTGTCTGTCTGTCTCTGTCTCTCTCTCTCTCACCTCTCGTGTTTTTTTTTCTTTTAAATGCATCAACTTGCTGTTTCGTCTTCTTTCTTCTGCTTTCTCTTTCCTGTTTTTTTTACCTTGCCTTAAGATCAGTGCTTTCTTTTCATCCTTTCTTCTTCTTTTCCATTCGTCCTTCTTCCTTTTTTTCTTTAATTGTTCTCACTTGTTTCTTCTCTTCATCATTTTCTTTCTTTCCTTCCTTCCTTCCTCCTCTTTCTCATCTTCTTCTTCTTCTCTTCCCCCTCCTCCTCATCGTCGTCTTCTTCTCTTCCCCTCTCCTTCTCCTGCTCATCTTCTTCTGCTCCTCCCCCTCCTCTTCCTCTCTTTCCTTCTCCTCTTCCCCATCTTCTCTTTCTCCTCCTCTCTTCTTCCCCCCTCCTCCTCCTCTGCCTCTCCCACAATTTCCTCCTCCATATATTCTTCTTCTCTTCTTCCCCCTTCTCATCTTCTTCTTCCTCCTCCTCCCCCCTTCTTCCCCCTCTTCCTCCTCCTCATCATCATCACCATCATCATCGTTCTCCCCCTCTCCTCTTTCTTTTGTGTGTGTTGTGTGTGTGTGTGTGTGTGTGTGTGTGTGTTGTGTGTGTATGTGTGTGTGTGTGTGTGTGTGTGTGTGTGTGTGTGTGTGTGTGTGTGGTGTGTGTGTGTGTGTGTGTGTGTGTGTGTGTGTGTGTGTGTGTGTGTGTGTGTGTGTGTGTGTGTGTGTGTGTGTGTGTGTGTGTGTGTGTTGGAGGTCCGCTGAACTTTCCACTCACCTGATGACGTCTGAGAACATTTTGGACCAAAAGTTACCTTCACTTCAATGAGGTGTTCCAAAAGTTCAGTCTATGGGACATTTTATTCACCTGTAGACAGAATAGGAAGGTAAATAGGTAGATATATGGGGTAAAGCTAGGAATATAGAAGATAAAAAATGATGAAAGGTAAATAGGTAGATGTATGGGATAAAGCTAGGAATGTAGAAGGTAGGAAAGTGTAGAAAGGTAAATAGATGTATGGGATAAAGCTATGGATATAAAGATAGAAATGTTGAAAGGTAAATAAAGGTAAATAGGTAGAATGTGGGATAAAGCTAGGAATATAGAATAGAAATGTAGAAAGGTAATGTATGGATAAAGCTAGGAGAAATACAAAATGTTGAAGGTAAATAGGTAATAGGTAGATGTGTGGGATAAAGCTAGGAGTATAGAAGAACCGAAATGTAGAAAGGTAGATAGGGAGATGAATTAGATAAGATTAGAAATATAGAAGATAGAAAATGTAGAAAGGTAGGATGACAGATGAAAGAAGGTAAGTAAGACATGGAAAGGTGACCAGTAAATGGATAGATTAATTAGATAAAGGATAGAAAATAAAGAATATATAAATCAGATACACATGCCAATTTAATAAAAATAGACACGTAGAAGATAGAAAAAAAATCAATAAACCAGATTAAAAGAAAAAAAAAACATTACGCAGAAAAAAATTGAAAGGTAAAAAAGAAAGAATAGTAAAATAGTAAAAATAAACCGAAAAATAGAATGCTAAGTAAATAAAATAAAATCAGATAAAATAAGAAAAAGAAAAGAAAAAAAGAAAAGGTAGACATAGAAAGAAAAAACAGAAAAGAAAAAAGAAAATGTAGACATAGAAAGAAAGAAAAAGAAAAGAAAGAAAAAAAACGAAAATGAGAAATAAAAAACAAATCTACACCCCACCAGACGAGGTCCGTATCGGCGTGTACCGGTACCTGTTCCACCCCGAACAGCTGATCACCGGGAAGGAGGACGCGGCCAACAACTACGCCAGAGGTCACTACACCATCGGCAAGGAGATCGTTGACCTCGTCCTGGATCGGGTCAGGAAGCTGGCGGATCAGTGCACCGGCCTTCAGGTAGGTCATGTTAGGTCATGGCAGGGCGTCCGGGTGTGGAGGGAGAGTCCTTACGTGGGGCTTGGTAGGTTGTGGCACTTTTGGGGTATGCTGTGGGAGTTATGGTGGTCATAAGTTGGGGTATGGTAGGTTATGGTAGTATTAAAGTGGGGTATGGTAGGTTATGGAGTTCATGGTGGTCATAAGTGGGGTGTGGTTAGGTGCAAGTGGGTATGGTAGGTTTATGGTGGTATTAAGTGGGTATGGTAGGTTAATGGGGGTATGGTAGGTTATGGTAGTATTAAAGTGGGGTTTGGTAGGTTGTGGCACTTTTGGGGTATGCTGTGGGAGTTATGGTTGTCATGAGATGGGGCATGGTAGGTTATGGTAGAATTTAAGTGGGGTATGGTAGGTTATGGTAGTATTCAAGTGGGGTATAGTATGTTATAGCTGTCCTTGGGTATACTGTGGGAGTTATGGTGGTCTTAAGGTGGGGTATGGTAGGTTATGGTAGTATTCAAATGGGGTATGGTAGGTTATAACAATTTTGGGGTGTACTGTGGGAGTGATGGTTGTCATGAGATGGGGTGTGGTAGGTTATGGTAGTATTCTAGTGGGGTATGGCAGGTTATGGAAGTCCTTAGGTGGGATATGGTAGGTTGCGGCTGTCTTTAGGTCAGGTATGGTAGGTTGCGGTAGTATTCAAGTAGGGTATGGTATATTATGGCTGTCCTTGGGTATACCGTGGGAGTTATGATGGGTTATGGTAGGATATGGTAGTATTCAAGTGGGGTATGGTAGGTTATGGTAGTCCTTCGGCGGGATATGGTAGGTTATGGCTGCCTTTAGGTATACTGTGGGAGTCAAGATGGTCATAAGGTGGGCTATGGTAGGTTATGGTAATCTTTAGGCCAGGTATGGTAGATTATGGTAGTTCTCTCGTGGGGTATGGTAGGTTATGGTAGTCTTTAAATGGGATATGTTAGATTTTACTAGTCCTTAGGCGGAGGGCACCAAGTTATGGTAGTCTTTAGGCTATTTAGGCTCTTCAGGAGTAGCATGGAAGGACATGGTTAATCTTTGAATGGAATATGGTAGATAAGCATGTCTTTAGGTACAGTAGAGTAAATGTTATTAGTTCTCTATGTTATGTTTCATTGATGACCAAGCGACAGATGCCACTATGGACTTCCTATAATTGTTTATCAAATTATGTTTATCTAATTATGTTTTTTTTATTGATATATCTCTCTTAAACGGCACTGATTGATTCTTATTGTCACTTGCAAATATGAATATATCTGTTTTATTTTCCATATGTGTTTAAAGCAAATGACTAACTTTCATTTGTGTGGCTTTTTGTATCAGCATGGATATTCTATGCAGCAACGGATTATATGTAGTTCTTTGTTTACCAGTAGGTTAATATTCATACTTGTTCTTATCTGTAGATTAATAGAGATCATACTTGACCTTATCAGTAGATTAATAGAGTTCATACTTGTCCTTATCTGTAGATTAATAAAGAGTTCATACTTGATCCTATCAGTAGATTAATAAATCATACTTGACCTTATCAGTAGATTAATATTCATACTTGATCTTATCAGTTGATTAATATTCATATCTTGATCTTATCAGTAGATTAATTCATACTTGACCTTATCAGTAGATTAATAGAGCTCATACTTGACCTTATCAGTAGATTAATATTCATACTTGACCTTATCAGTTGATTAATATTCATACTTGTCCTTATCTGTAGATTAATAATCATACTTGATCTTATCAGTAGATTAATAGAGCTCATACTTGACCTTATCAGGAGTTCATACTTGACCTTATCAGTAGATTAATAAATTCATACTTGACCTTGCTTCTTTGTTAGTTTTATATGAGGCATTTAGTTTTATCAATGCCAACATAATAATTTGATTATCGTACTGCTATGCCCAATTTCAAGTTTATTCAGACTGCCATGTTTATTACTGTTTCTCTTATGACGTCATTATCTGTTGAGAAATGCTTTTACCACAAGTCAACGTTACTTTCGTTAATGGTTTCCCTTCTCATTCTTAGCACCATGTTCTCTCCTAGATGGTAGTATTTTTATTTTTATTCCTCCCCGGAATCCATGTGTCAATTTGTTTCCTTCTGTTTCTAATCATATTCAGTTCTAGATATCCCTAATTTTGATTTGAATTCATGCCATCAAACACACATACACACACACGTACACATACGCACACACCTGCACACACACGCACACACTCCCTCCACTTCACTCCTCGCCCTCCTTCCTCCTCTCTCCTTCCACTCACTTCTCGCCTCCTCCCCTCCTTCCTCCCTCCCCTCCTTCCTCCCTCCCCTCCCCTCCCTCAATCCCTCCTCCCTCCCTCCCCTCCTCCCTCCCTCCTCCCTCCTCCCTCCCTCTCCTCAATCCACTCCCATCCCTTCCTCCACTCACTCCCCTCCCTCCTTTTCCAGGGATTCCTCATCTTCCACTCGTTCGGCGGTGGCACTGGCTCCGGCTTCACCTCCCTGCTCATGGAAAGACTCTCGGTCGACTATGGCAAGAAGAGCAAGCTGGAGTTTGCCATTTACCCGGCCCCGCAGGTATGTGCTCTCAGGTGCCTGTCGGTTTACTTGACATAGAGATAAATAGATTGATTGATTGACTGATTGA